CCCAATCCCATTCCACTCTAAAACTCAATGGGAAAAATATCCTCCAGTGAGAATTAACAACAACAACAAAAATCAGTAAGTAATCGAATGAAAAAGTTAATGCAGATAGAAAGCCAGAGAGACTCCGGTGATAGTTCTGAGTTAAGTTCTCGCCGTTTCCCCCTTTTCCTGTAATAAAGTAAGATTCCAGGTGCCGCTACAACTCAACCCAGTAAGGACTGATAGCTACAAAATCGCTTTACGTTGTTTGCCAGTTGTGCTGAAAACTAACACTTTACAGCAAATAACTCATGTTTCATACCTATCGTTTGGTACACAAGCACCACCTTTCCCAGAGGCCTCTGAGCCCAGGTCAGCGACAGGGCAGCGCTCCCAGAGGAGACTGGCTTCGGGGCCAGCTCCATGGCCTGAGGTAACCGCGATCTGAGGTGTTTTGAAGGCCCCTCCCCTCCCTGGGCCCACACTTTCTTTCCCTGATCTGCAAAATAGAGCCTGAAATTCTCAGCATTCTTGTCATTCCCTAAGGGCCCAGGCCACTCTCTAAACATTCTCCCCCAGAGGCACCTGAGGAATTAGGCCAGGAGTTCTTAGTAGGAGGCAAAGGGCAGCAGGGGTATTTGGGAAGACAACAGGAGGCCTCAAGAGAACACAAAAAAAGGTGATGGTGCAAGAAAAGCTTGCAACAGGTGGCTCCACCGCTCAGCACTGCCAGTGACTTACCTGGAAATGGAATGTGGGCCAGGGGGAGCTGGTACACAACTTTGTTCAAATCCTTCATAAAGGTTTGTAGCTAGTGTCACTCGTTGGAATCCTGGAATGAAAATCTTTTCACTGAGGCCCTTCCTGGACCTCAGAAGCCGTCCCTGTCACCTCTGAGTCGCTGAGATGAGCTACGTTGGCAAGAAGCCTCTTCCTCTCCTTTCTTTCTTTCCCTCCCTCTCGCCGTCCTCCCCTCCCTTTCCCTTTCCCACACACAATCTGGGAGTTTATTTGGTAAGTTTTTTGGAGAACTGGGACACACCTGCAGTTTATTCATTGAAGCCTCAGACACACCACTAGAGGGCAGTGTCATCACTAATCAGGAGACTGATTTCCTCTGGCTCCGTGTGGAGCAGGCCCACCTGCCTGCTCTCCCACAGGATGTTTCAGAAGTTTCCCTTCAATTCTCATTGTAAATAAACAAACCCAGGGCGGATACATGCAGACGCACATCACAGCGCAGCATGAATCGCCCAGGCCAAAGTTGCCGGCATAACCATCTTGCTCAACTTTGTAGCACAGTTCAGAATCCAGACTTAAAACCTGCATTTTTGCCCTCCTAGAGTTTGGAATTCCCCTCCTATGCTGTCCTCAAGAGCGAAAGGGACTTTTCAAGGAGCTGACTAACCCAGCACAGCCTATTTGTACACGATTCTGTTTTGTTTCCAAATTCAAGTTATAAACCTTTGGCTTGCTCAAAAGCAGGGCGGCCCACTGGTCCACAGCTCTCCGTAGATGAGTCATGTGTGGGAACTCGGGGGCCAGGAGCCACATGTTTCCCGGCCAGAGGCACTGAGCATGTAAACCGGGACCTGGTAAGTTGGGTCCTCGTTAGTGAGCCAAAGAAAGCAGAGCTGCTAGGAACTTTCCTGGCAGAACTCCCCTTCCTGTGACTTCATCGCACCCCTAGGCATTGACCCGGTGCCTAGCACGGGGGCAGGCTCGCATGTGATTTCTCTGAGACTAGTATTTTTAGAAGCCACGTAAACTGACTAAAGGCCTGGGTGAAATTATAAATCAGGGAGTGTTAAAGGGACAGGACAGAACATGGGCGTGGATGCTGCTGCCCCAACAACACTGGTGCTGTCCTTCTTCAAGCAACCGACACCTGCTGACACCGGGCTCAGCCTGGGATTATCAGCCCAGGCAGATAAGGGGAGGGAAACATTTGCAAACAGAGACCTCTGGAATTTCCCTCCAGTGCTGAAACACCACCCGGAGTTCAAGTGGCCATATTTGGACAAAGATTGCTCTGTTATTTTTCCTCTTTTGTATTTTCACTGCTATATCATAACATGACACTCTTTCCACGAGGCCAATGCTATTTATTTACTCAACACTTTCCCAAAGGTCTCTCTTCTCCTCTCCTATCTTCTCCCCTCAAAGGATCGGAGGTGCACACTCTGTTTTTGAGGGGAAAGATAAACTAGAGGAAGTTTATTGAAATTAGTCAGGTGGTGACTGTCACTCAGCAAATCCACACTGACTGAGGGGAAGATGGAGTTGAAAATTAGTCCCAAGGTTTAAGGATTCCATTTCCACAGAAGGCTCCCAGGGTTGGGCCACCATTGTGTTTCACAGCAGGTGAAGAGAGAAAAAAGTGCAGAAAAACAAAGAAGATTTATACTCCTGACTGAGCAAAACCCCACGAGGTGGGATGTTGACAAAGGGTGGGGATGGACTGAAGAGTGTGCAGATGGCACCCACGGCCCTCACCCACCTCCTCACAACCCCGGGCACAGGGCCAGGGAGGCACCTTCTCTCCAGGACTGTGCCCGCAGGAAATCAGGAAACAACCATCATTTTGCTTCCAGCTCACCTTTACAAATACCAGTTTAGGGCACGGTGGAAAAAATAAAAACAGATCGCAAGGCGAGGAGAAGTAAATGAGATCCCAGCTAAATAGAGCTGTTCCAGAACATGACAGCTTGGCTTCCATCCGTATTATTCTGAATGTATAATCTATGTGGCTCTTCGGTTTCCAGTAAAGGAACTTTTGTTTTGCTTCTTTTCTTCTCCCCTTTCCCTCAGAATGAATGGCTTTCTCATTAGGCAACGTTCACATGCTCTGAGAAAATGTGTTTGGAATAGAAAGACTCCCTGGAATCACAGATTAAAATGCCAGCGAGTCGCGCACAGTCTCCCCCATTCTGCGCTGGTTAGATGAGAACACCCGCCGTTCTGCATGCAGGGAACGTCTCAGGTAAGACTATTAAAGCCACGGAGCATCTACTTAGTGTGGTTATTAAAATCCTGTGGCACTCCAGTGAATAGTGTGTGGTCTGGCAGCCAGAACCTCTCTTCACACTCCTTCCCCTATATTTCCTGGATTTACAGAAGTGAAGCAAGTAGGAAAGATCAGGTCACCCATTTCTCAGATGTTAATTGAGCACCGACTCCATGACCATGGCACTGGGGTACAATAATATAAGGTATTGCAAAGTCTCTGCCCTCACAGTTTAGTCCTGAGGGGAATGAGCCAGTTATAAGACAATTATAACTTCACTCCCACAAGGATAGTTATCATGAAAAAAAATTCCAGAGCGTTAGCAAGTGTTGGCAAGAATGTGGAGAAATTAGAACCTCACACATTGTTGGTGGGAATGTGAAATGGTGCAGCTGCTATGGAAAACAGAGTTGCCATATGACTCAGCAATTCCACTCCCAGGTACTTATCCAAGAGGACTGAAAACATATCATACAGCCCTAGCCAGTTTGGCTCAGTGGATAGAGCGTTGGCCTGCGGACTAAAGAGTCCCAGGTTCAATTCTGGCCAAGGGCACATGTCCAGGTTGTGGGCTTGATCCCCCCCAGTAGGGGGCATGCAGGAGGCAGCCAATCAATGATTCTCATCATTGATGTTTCTATCTCTCTCTCCCTCCTCTCTGAAATCAATAAAAAATATATTAAAAAAAAAGAAAACACATCATACAAAAATGTGTACACATGTTCATAGAAGCTGTACTCATAGTACCCAAAAGAACTAATAACTCAAACGTCCATCAGCTGATGCATGGTTAAACAAAAGGTGGTAACCTATCCATACACTGGAAGAGCATTCAACCATACAAAGGGGGTTCTGATACATGCTACAACATGGTAAACTCTGAACACATTATGCTGAACGAAGCCAGACACAAAAGGACTAATATTCCATGATCCATTTCTATGAAAGGCCTGGAATAGGCAAGCCCATGGAAGAGAAAACAAGCTGGCAGCTGGCAGTGGATGGGGAAGGGGAGCACGGGCTACCAACGGGGGTGTGGTTTGGGGGATGATGACAATGTTCGGAAATGACATGGCGGTGATGGCTGCATAACCTTGTGAATATTCTGAAAACCAGGGGTCTGTGCCCTTTAAAGGGGTGTGAACTGTATCTCAATTAAAGGAGGTAATCACGACGCAGTGGACAGGTGCGCCGCAGAGCAGAGTGCTGAGCCAGAGCAGGCTGGGCAGGAAGGGCTCCAACAGCTTTCTGCAAGAACTGACTTTTCAGCAGAGACCATAAAAGACTCCAAACGTTAAAAGTAGGAGGGGCAACGGAGGAAGAATGATCAGTGCTGAAACAGGAACACGCCTGGTGCTGAGGGGACCGTGAGGAGTTCACTGAGCTGATGCAGTGTTGGTGGTGGGCAGTGAACCGACACGAGGCTGGCGGTGGAGGAGCTAACAAGCCGTGCTAGAGAATTTGGACTTGTACACACGTGTTGGCTCAGTTGGCTGGAGCGTTATCCCATGCACCAAAAAGGTTGCATGTTTGATTCCCTGTCAGGGCACATACCTAGGTTAGGTTGCGGGTTCCATCCCTGGTTGGGGCGCATATGAAGGCAACCAATTGATGTTTCTCTCTGTCTCCCTTCCTCTCCTAAAAAAGAAATCAGTAAATCATATCCTTTGGGTGAGGATTAAAAAAAAAAGAATTTTGACTTTATGTCAGTTATAACTGGAAACCCTTGAAAGAGTGAATGTTCAGGAGCAACAAGATCGGACTTGTTCTTCAGAGACGTTGTTCCAGATGCAGCGTGAAGAAAACGGATTGGCTACGTATCAAGAATAGAAGTCCATAGAGGAGTTAGGAGGTTACTGCACTAATACAAGTCAGAACTGACCAAATGGGGAGGACTGGGAGGTACTAGAGATGAGCTTCCAAGCTCCCTGTGTGCTCTGCCAACCCCAATAGCAGTGGGCTCTACCAGAAAGCAAGATACAGTTTCTTTTTTTAAAATTAAATTTATTGTGGTGACATTGGTCAACATGAACATACAGGTTTCAGGTGTGAGCTTCTATGTTACAAAGATACAGTTTCATAAGGAGATGATACTGATGCTGAGGCGGTACTGATGCTGAGAAGGTACTGATGCCAAGGAGGTACTTACGCTAGGAGGTACTTATGCCTGGAGGTACTGACCTGAGGAGATACTGACGCTGAGATGTACTGATGCTAGGAGGTACTGATGCTGAGGTGGTACTGATGCTAGGAGGTACTAATGCTGAGGAGATACTGACGCTGAGATGTACTGATGCTGAGGTGTACTGATGCTAGGAGGCTCTGATGCTGAGGAGGTACGGACACTGAGGTGGTACTGATGCTGAGGTGGTACTGATGCTGAGGCAGCCGGCACACCTCCCCACAGGTCCTCCTCCTGCTTTTTTATTATCAGTCGCCTCTAGACTTGGTTTCTCTTTTCAGATCACACGAGTTCAAATTTCTACTCTGCTATTTCTAAGCCAGGTGACTTCAGGTTAGCCATTTAATCTCTGATCTCAGTTTTCTCAAACAGGAAATGAGGAAAAAATTACATATCTCAGTTTTTACAGAGGGGGGTATATATGACTACATATGTTTTTTTTTTAAATCCTTATAACAGGCCCGCCCTTAGTGGGTGCTTAGTAACCTGAGTGGTATCTGTACCTCGGAGTTTGTCAGCCTGTAGTTGAAAGTCATAGCCATAATTCTTCTAGGCAAGCATGACGCGGAAGCGTAAAGAAGTCTGCCTCAGGCCTGGAACTGTCAACAGCTCAGCAAGCTGGGAAAGAGGATCCCAGGGCCATCCTGGAAATAGGCGTTTGCCCAGAAGACAAACGAGGCTCCTTAGATACCATTTCAAAATCTAATGTATTTAAATGAATTCCTAAAAAGAAAGCTCTGAGAGCTGCTCAGACAAGCCATCAAATCCAGCCTGTTTACGCTCAGGCAGGAAGGCCAAAGTTCCAGGTAAAGGCCCCCTTCCTAGAGCTCACATAACTGCAGGGCAGCAGACCATACAAATAGTTTGAGGCACCGAACCAACGGAATGTTGTCTGGAATGATAATGTGGAGAGAAAAGCAGTTCACGTAAACACAGCAGGCAATTTAATGCAAAGAAACACATGTAACAAGCATCCTACAGCTTTCCAGACACAAGGGTCCGGCTGAGGTTTTTCATGCAGAAAAACACATTTAGAGAACAGGCAAGAATGGAAAGTATCGAAATATGTTTTAAAACCTTACTTCTGGAGCTTATTGTTATCAGCACTAAATACAAGGTCTTTCTTTCCCCCTTTACCAGGTAGCGGGTCCTAATGAGTGAATGTAATTTCAATACTGATGTAATCTATTAAATAAACATGTTACCACCCAAACCTTTGGAAAGATTTCTCTCTCTCTCTATCCTCTCTCACATATACATACGTATCTTCCATGCATTTGAAACATGCCCCCTCTCACTCTCCTCCTACACCATGAAAATTTCTCTCCAACCTTCCTAAGGTTTTTCCTTTTTCGGTGATCACTGTAATGGGTTTCAGAAAGCACCAGGTGGCAGAAGCACACTGGAAATAAAGCTGAGCTAAGCTCCTGGGCAGCCCGGAAACTGCAGGGACAATCATTTTTTTAAAGACCAATAGAGACTTTTCCATTTTAAGAACAGATATGCTTAACGAAGTGAAGGGACTCTGACAGTAACAACAGGAAAGAGAATCTATCACCCATAGATATGGGGAAATGTTCCATTTTCTTCCTTCTGTGATTAGTGGTTGTGATTATATTAAATTGCAACTTTATAACCTCCCTTTTAAACTTGAACAAGTTGAGAGCACTTTTAAACCATCTTCTCTCAAAAAGAAAGTACATTATTTATACATACAGCTCCTTGTTTCAAAAAAGATCTAAGGCATCTGCATGTGTCCATAGTTTTTTAAACCCTTTAAAAAAAATCAGTTTTGGGAATGTGGCTTATTCAATCTAGACATTTTCCTTTTAGCAACAATTACTTTAGGTGAAACATTAACAATGGTGCCTGAGGCAGTAAAATTATATCTTAAGATTCCATTTCCAAAAACAAAAATGCCAGTTATTGCAGAGAATCATAACTGACCGAATGAAATGGTAACCATTTCCTTTTTTTCCTGAAACAGAAATGAAGATGTCCTTTCTGTTCGAACAGCATTCACTGCAAGACCTTTGTAACTCCGGTAAAAAAAATACAGCATGTATCATCCTTGAGCTGTCCTTATAAACTTGGATCTTCATTTTCTTATTTTTCAAACCTATACCAATAGTATATAACATGCATTATATGTTTGTGTGCATAATTACATATATGTGTATAATTTTATATGTACAAAATATTCCATAACAAATAATTTTTAAAATACTTAAGTGTTGCGGAAGCAGGAAAAAGTCATTTATATTTTTAGATTTGCTTTCAGAAAATTAACCGAAGCCAAAATTCATTTACTTCTTTGGGATATTTAATCTGAATGCTAAAAAGAACTGTATAAAATCATTATTTGGTCCATAAATGGTGGTAGAAAAGTTGAAATAAATTTTAAAAAGTAATTTGGCCCAGTCATTGGCTTTAGGCAAATGAAAAGCCATTATTATTCCCCTCTGTTCGGGCAAGTGAAGCCTTCACCAACATCAGGGGAGAGGAGGTGGGAGCCTGAGGACCCTGTGGCGAGTCCTGGGAAAATCCCGCATCTCCCCATGTTTCAGTCAGACCGTGGATCCACAGGCTAACTATGAGAAATCAGAAATAACATGCTGACTCTTCCCCTTCTTAAAATGAAAACTTAATTTGCTCTATTAAATGAGCAAAATACTCACTTCGTGGGAGGGGAAATTCAACTGTCAGGAACAAATATTATTACATTCCAGAACCGCCCAAATGGTAAGTCTTGGTTGGTTCTCTCCTCTGTAAGAACTTCGTAGGCAATCACATGAAATTCTCTTCAAGGAACAATCCCATTCATACCTCCCGAGGCCCCAGTCCGAACTCCAAACAAAAGGGCTCTCACTCTGATGGTTTCACGGGCCCTCTCCCTGCTTAAGCAGCTTTGAATAAATTTCCCATTTGACTCAAATGCTTTCTCAGCCAGTTCCGAAAGGGGATTTTCTGAACTCTGAGCACCAAGGTGAAGTCTTCAGTGGTCCAATACATTGTAAACTGGAAATAATTTGCAATAAAAGAAGGAGAAAATCAGCTTAAAGAAATTACTAGTGTAGGAACTTACTGCACTTTCTCAACATTCCTTAGGCATCAAGACTGAGCCTAGATGACTTGACTGTACACTCAGTGTTTTCCTGCCTGGTTGCTTTCTCTGTTTGCAGAGCCCTGGAGAAGATTAAAAACATGAACTCTATTAAAGTAGCACGCCTTGCCTGTGGGGCATCACGTTTAAAAGCCTGGAGACACTTCCTTGGGAAAGCCAGGACAGTACACTGCAACCATGATGACTGGGGAAGTTCATCTTTTCTCTTCTGAGTTTTGTTCCCAAACTTCTAATAAAAATAATTTAGGTTTTGGCCCTCAGAACTTTTTTTTTTTTTTTTTTTTTTACAGAAACTGCTTATCATTATACAAGAATAGTTTCCCCTATTTTTTTTTGTTTGTTTTTCCTCTATTTCTATTCTTTCCCACATAGATTAAACCAAAATAAGATTAACCAGACCTAATTTGATTCCAATCCAAGCCACTCGCCCTATGTATTCCATTCCAAATCAAGTTTAATTTACTGACTTCCTTGGGTCCCAACTGAATGATCTACTGGAATTCACGAAAAAGGTCACAGAATAATACTGCAGGTCAAAAAAAGAATGTGAAAAACACAAACAAGCTTGGAAACAGATTGGCCTAAAGACATGACTTAGTTAAGATGTTTCTTGTGGAATGCAAATGATAAAACATTGAGTGCTCCAACTGGAAAAGCAGCCAGCAGAGGAGCAGATGCATCTGCGTTTATTCATCATTCCTTCCTTCATTCATTCATTCAACAAAAACTTACCGAGCACCTATTACACCATCAGACCTGGCCTACTCATGGCCCCTAGACTTCAGGAGAATATTTGCTCTTCTGGTTCCCAGCTCTGCATGAAGCCTGTCTCCCCTTTGCCTCCAGTATTGTTCACTATATATTTTTTATATTGTGAAATCTGTGAACATAAGCTTTACTTTTTATCTATTTTTATCTTTTGGTAATTTAGAAACTGAAATGAAAACTCCCTTTTGATTCTGATAACCAGCAGCCTTTGGATTCTTTTAATCCAAAACATTTTAGATCTTTTTTTTCTTTTTAACCTTTTTTGAAAGTCAAGATTTACCTCTAAAGGATAAAATCAATTTCATTTGCTCATAATATTACAGCTAATACTATAATAGCTACATATATGGTTTTATACTAGTGTTAAGCCACTAATATTGTTATAGTTAATGTTACAAACTCCCACAATATTTTTGATCCTCAAAATCACCTTCATGTTATAGGAAGAGAGGTATTTTTACTATCTGATCAGTGTTCTTTACTACTTTTCCTCAATTTAAGTTTAGCTTAAAATTTAAGCTTTTGTCAGGGAGTGGCACTCTGTCATGCTACAAACACACTAAGAATTCCTCCTTATTATTCAAAAGGTTTCTGCTTAATCCTAAATCTTTGGTTTTGCTTGGACAACATTAACATCCACCCCATGTGGTCTAAAAACAAAACTTAAACACATGATAACAGCAGATTACAGACATGTCCGACTTCCATAAATAGAACAAAAATGCTCATGTTATTTTGGTGAACAGAAAAATCAGAAAAACTATGTCAGTCCCCATTTCAGCCTTATTTATCTAGTTAACCTTGGATAAGTCCCTCAATATTAAAATGCTCTTTTAAATTTCACCACCAGTAGAAAATCATTAATTCTAAAATATTTTGTGTAATACTTAATGCTACTGGTATACAAATTCTGAAAAGAGAGGAAAAAACCCATTTCCGTTTTCATCTCATGCAGCCTCTTAAGAGACAAGGTACATTTTTTGTGGTTTCTTGTTTAGTATCTAGAATATTGTGTTCACATTCAGTGAATTCTTTAAATTCCTTTTACTGACAACCCTCTGGACCCTGAATATAAAATTATGTAGGCATTTTCCCTGTTGCATGAAGACGGATTGGTTTGTACAAGTACACAGTAAGTTAGTGGCAGGATCAAAGGTCAAAGTCTCTGGCCGATATCCTAGCCCTGCCAGGATCATTAGGTTACACCTCTGCAAACAAGTCAGAACTCCAACACCCTCTCTAACATCAACAGAATTCTCTAAGCTGAGACTTACTCTAGCCACCCTTCTTTGCTAAATCTTTTAACCAGATCTGGTTGGTTCCCTTCCTCTCTCCATGCTTAACAAGCTGAGAAACAGATAAAAGGCAAGCTGGATGTGCAGAACAGACGTTGAATCACCCATAAGCCAGAAAAACCTGAGAGTTAACTACATGGATTTCTTTTTTCCAGTTTGGAAAGTGAATTTTCTTAAATCATATAATGAGTCTCAGGAGTACAATGTAAGTTTGCAAGAAAATTTAATTTTCATGAAATTTTTTTCAGTCACAAAATGGAAGTGAGAAAATGCATAAATTGATTTACAAAAAAGAAAAAAACACACCTGCCAGAACTATGTCACCAGAACAAAGCAGTAAAAATCACAAAAATCATAAAAGTTAGTCTAGTCACCCAAAGAATTTATAAACTGTCTGGAGATGATCTATGAAAAACATAGACACCATCCTTACACATTAGGAAGAAGTGTATGGGGTGTGTAGACAAAGAATATGTGAAGAGAACAATATCAACAGTTTTGCACTTACCAAGTGACACATACTGATGTAGGTATTTAAAAAATCTTAAGCCTTATAAATGGTAGATCCTTAAGAAGTTTCACCAGTCATTTAAGGAAATTAATCTCTCCTTCTGTGCTTGTCCACTTTAGTCTATGTAAACTTATTAAAGACAGTCTGATATATTTTATTACTGCCTTGGGCTTCTGCCATAATATATAGTATATAGTATATAGTATATAGTATATAGTATATAGTATATAGTATATAGTATATAGTATATAGTATATAGTATATAGTATATAGTATATAGTATATAGTATATAGTATATAGTATATAGTATATAGTATATAGTATATAGTATATAGTATATAGTATATAGTATATAGTATTCTGCCCAATATATAGTATAGTTTAAATGAGTGTTTTTCCCTGGAGTGGTGGGCGAGGGCAGGCTAGAAGGGGTCAATGGGGAAAAAGGGGGACATATGTAATACTTTCAACAATAAAGTTTTGTTTAAAAATAAAAATAAATAAATAAATGAGTGGTTTTCAAACTCTGGGTGCATAAGATTCACCAGTAGCTTTTGCAAAAAAGGGCAAATCCCCAGACCCTAGAATATTGGACTCAGTATATCTGAATTGGGTCCAGTGATTAATTCAGGTATTTAATAAACATGTTTTAAGTACTTCATGTGGTAGGTGTTATTAAATCCACTTTACAGACAAGGAAACAGAGCCATAGGGAAAGTGGCTTGCTAAAGGTCACAGAACTTACAATAGATAACAGTCAGGGTTAGGCCAAAGTAGCAACCAACGCCTCTGATTCACTCATTCATTCATTCTTATATTCAACAGGTATTTGAAAACCTCCATGGGCTGTCAAAAGGAAATGCACATAGATACCTAATGTCAGTTATTCTGTATCACCGCCTGTCAGCACTGGAAAAGTTTCCCCCAACCAACATAGTACTGAAGGGTACAAATCTAGACAAGGGATACCCTAGTTTTATTTCTAGAGATAGCAATTCAGTATTTTAGGAAGAGCTCTTTTCTTTGTAAACTAAATATTTTAAAAATATTTTTATTGGTTTTTAGAGAGGGAGAGGGAGAGAGTGAAACATCAATGCAAGAGCAGACCATTCATCAATCAGCTGCCTCCCACACACCCCATATCTAGGATGGAGCCTGCAACCTGGGCATGTGCCCCGACCAGGAAACAAACCGGAAACCTTTTGGTGCATGAGATGACACCCAACCAACTGAGCCACACTGGCCAGGGTGACTACACTCAATCTTTTTAAATGGGGAATATATTTTAAAATGTACCATTTTAATCTGTTTCTGTTTAGTAGCTCAGTTTGCCATCAAGAAAATCCATCTATCTCCTTACACCTATATTACCCCCACCAATTTAAACTGAAGTCCCAAATATTTTCAGTTGGAAAGTCTATTGCCAAATTTAACTTTTTTCATCAATCCCACTCATGGGGGAAAACGCTACTACTTCTGAACTTATTTAAAATAGAGATTAAACTTTACCCCTTTCTTATATTCCATACATTTTACATAATGACAAGTAAATCACCCTTGTCTAAGCTGACAGGTAAGGTATAAGAATGTACAATGTAATATCTGAGGAGGAAATACAACAACAGGAATTAGGCTGTGTGTGCAATTTCAATTAATACATATAATTGGACAAATAAAATGTTCACATGCCAGTTAAGATGCTTTTTTCTAGGTCATTAGACAAACATTACTTTCAACCTTGCGCAACTCGGGAGGAAAACGTTTTGTTTGAGCCCTTTCAAATACCACTGTGGCAGTCTGCCACAGCAATAGAAAAGTCACCCCCTAGTACCAACACCTCTAATTGCCATCCTCTGTTTTGCTGCCCTATAGTACTCAAATCAACAGAAACTGCTTGTGGTTACGCCGGAGCAGGTCAGGAGACAAACAGCCCTTGGCTTCGATATGCTTCCTGTGCTCTGCTGTCAGGACATCCGGGCCACTAGTGGTCAGGGACCCTGAGAAAACAAGTGGAGGAGCACAGAAAGGGACTCGTTGCCAGCCTTCGTGAACTCAAGCTGATTCACCGTTTGTTCAGTTCCCCTATCACCTTGGTTAATGGCACTGCCAGAGACTATATATTTGTTCAGGAGTTTGGGCACAGACATTTCTTCATAGGAACACAGGCCCAGGTTGAGCCAGGGGATTTGAGAGTAAGACAGACCTAACTGGGAAGTATTTTGAGCTTCTGAAGTAAACAAACTCAAGAAGGCCTTTCTTTGTAAAAGATGTTTTGCTTTACCCAAAACTTTGCTGTTTCCTGAGTACTCACAGTTTACCAGGGACTACAGAGATTACATTACATTTGCATCAACACATACTGCACTCTTTTTTAGGAAAGAGTTCTGACTTGCTTCAGTTGGACCTCAAAGTACAGCCAAGCTCCCTAGAAACACAGAAATATAAGATGAGATAGTGGTTTTATTACTTATACAAAGCGCCCCGGATAACCTTTTCTTTTAATTTCAGGGAAGCAAGACAAGCATTATAATCTTCTCAATTTCCTCATTGGTACAAATCACACTATGAAAGATGCATCTTTATTTTAATCCTCACCTGACAACATGCATATAATAATTATTTTAGAGAAAGAGGAAGAAGAGAGAGGGAGAGAGAAAGAAACATTGATGTGAGAGTGAAACATCGATCGGTTGCAACCTGCACACACCCCAACCGGGAATTGAACCCACAACCTGGGTTTGTGCCCTGATGGGGAATCAAACCTGCCACCTTTTGGTGCACGGGATGACGCTCAATGAACTGAGCCATCCAGCCAGGGCAAAAAGGTGCATCATTTTTTTTTTTAGTAATTCTTTTTTTAAAGTATTTTATTGATTTTTTACAGAAAGGAAGGGAGAGGGATAGAGAGTTAGAAACATGGATGAGAGAGAAACATCGATCAGCTGCCTCTTGCACACTCCCTACTGGGGATGTGCCTGCAACCAAGGTACATGTCCTTGACCGGAATCGAACCTGGGACCTTTCAGTCCACAGGCCAACACTCTATCCACTGAGCCAAACCGGTTAGGGCAAGGTGCATCATTTTAATTCTTCTCCCATCATAGCTATAAATCAGCATTGTGTCACACGTTTTACATGCATTATCTCAGTTATTTTCCACAATAACCCAACTAAGTTAGGCACTCTTTTGTCCTGGTTGCAGATGAGGAAATCACAAGGCAACCTGTCCTAGGTCACACAGTTTAAACTGAAGGGTCCAGCCAGGATCTGAATTCAAATAGCTCTAACTTGGAAATTAGTGCTCAAGTGGGTCTAACTTGGAAGCCACCACACCATTATGCTATGGTGTGAAAAAGAGCCTTGCAGCCCTCAGCTGTAATACCATGGCTCGTCAGATGTTGAATATATTCTTCTAAATATTACTGACTGTAACTGATACCAACCCTCCCTCCCTCCCCAATTCCTTCAAAGCTTACCTTAAATCCTAGGGTCCTAAAGAGTCTCCCTCTGGCCTTTAAGGAATTAATCTGCTTGTGCACACTGTCTATTCTTTTAACCACATGTAAGCGTTTTGGGAACAGAGGCAGCCTGATTCATCTGAAATCCCTAAGGTTTCCAGGTGATTCTGATGTAGGGGCAGACTATCACCCTTACACACTGCCTCCAACTAAACTGAAATCATGTTCTAAAGAGGCAAGGATCAAAGTTAATTTCAACTCTCCATTCCAAAAATAATTTTTATAACTTCCTATAGCTTATGGTTTTATGGTATTTGGTTATCTCTAACCTTCCCTCTAATTAGACCTGTTGCAGACCAATCTCATTAGTGGTCGGATACCTCACTTTTCAGGTACTGGCAAGATATCTGCTTCCATTTATATCACGTGTGACCTCAGAGTAAATAAAACATCTCTCTCGCTCTTACTTCCCCATCTACACAGTCAGCTTTTTAAGTTAGTCAGGAAGATGTTGTAAACCCATTTGAGACCAAGTAAGAGAACCTTCTCATACCCTGGGAAGGGAAATAGCTCTTACCAATTTATCTGTAAGAGTTCTTTAAAACTAAATATAAAAGGCTAAATGCTAGTCTTAAGTTTATAAGGGGCAAATCCTCAAAACTGGGTCTAAATCCTCCACATGTCTTTCCCAAACAAAATACATTTTTAGGCAAGAATCACAGAAGAATAAAGTGTCCTGACTACTCAATTACCAAAAAAAAAAGTAAATGGGTGATGATGATTTCGCCACAGGGGGAGTGTTTCCCAAGTAACTAGATATCGAAAGCTTGCAAAGCACACTGTACTTAGTTCCACCTCAATTGCAGACTCAGAAGAAAAGAAAAACACAGGAACAAATATTTTTATTTAACCATGGGTGACTGAGAATTTTATGAGCTACAGAAACACACTATTTGGAAATCCATTATAAAATTAAGCACAGAAACTGAATAATTGCAAATGCTTCAGATGATCAGAATGTACTAGAAAACGTGGGGCCCTGACCCTAACTGAGGACAGTAGCACTGCCATTAAGAACATATTTTGGGGCAAAAATAAAATTCATATGACAAATTAAATGAAAATATGAATTTAGGCTCTAAATCCTCAATCACTCCCAACTTCAAGATTAGGAAAAATAAGTCTGTCTTTCCCAAACATTAGACCATTCAGCATGATGTTTATAACACAAACTATAGCCTATGACACATATTGGGGCTACTATCTCTTCAACAGGTAAGTGAATTTCAATTCTCATACCTTTTGGAAAGGGCCAAAGGACAGTCTGCGAAGTTACCATCCTCAACCCTATGCCAACACTCTTTTTTGGGCAACAAATAATATAATGGTGTAGGGATAGGATTTGTCTTTTTACTGAGCCTAGCATAAAGTAGTATATAATGTATATTTGTGAACCAATCTAAGATACAAAATACAAGAATTCTAAGCTAAGGCTGGTTTTTGTATTCTGGAAGAAAAGACTGTCCTCTTTCTGGATGTGTCAGGAGTAGAGACAAGGTTTTTGCTAATATCATCAGGTGGTCCCCTTTGAAATGGCTGCCAGCAACTGGGCTTTATTCTAACCACTGCAGGAACTCCGGTCCAACCAGTCATAGGGCAACTTCACAACGTGCCTTGAGCTATCATCTAACACTCCTCCTCGTCCTCCTCTTCACAACCAGGACTGTGAGGAGACCTGGACTGCCTCACAATCAGCTATAAAACTTACCAATGGGTGGCACCTCTACATAGACCCTCATTCAGATATAACTAGGGATGGAAGTATGTAGTCTTTATTAAAACCTATACAGTGAATTTTAATGGGTGGGAGCAGAGACTACAATCTGGGCACCTCATTTCTTATTATGAATTTAGCATAATTATCTTATTACATGAGCTCTGATGTCTTTTCTCATCCAACTCAATAACAGCTATATAACTACATTTTATTTTGAACACCACTTTAAAGTGATTTACTAAAAAATAAATAAATAAATAAAATCCTGACTTTTATAACCAACTTCCCGAGTTTCTCAACAGGCATAACCAGATTTAAATTTTTAAAAAACACAGAAGATATATCTAAGCACTGCCTACCATTTGCACAGAAAATAAGTGAGAAAATAAATGAGAATGGCAAAGAACAAGTAGATTTCTGTCTTCTTACATTTTCCAATAAAGGTAGTAATTAGAAATGTTGGCTTTTACTAAGAAGAGCTTTATAAGGCCCTCTGGTTTTTATAGCATCTGATCATTTAGATGGTTGTTAAGGCTTTTAATTTTCTACAAAGAAAGGAAGCTCTTGATTCCAGGTCCTGAAAAGGAAATGTACAAGACAAGACTGGACTTCTTGGGCCAGAAAACAAGGAAGCTATCGAAGACCAAAAGGACAGACACAGGCCTAACTTGGAAGGGGCTTCCCAATGGCCAAATCTGGGACAATTTGGACATAAAAAATAATGACTGCAATGGATTAAAACAAATTAAATACATAAAACAAACAAATGACTTACCTTTGGAGTTTGCTTGGGCTCTGGTCCATTACTGCAAAGTTGGTAAATAAAGGGAAAGAATCAACATGATCTTATCTTCTTGTGTCTTAGGGAAACTAAGTAATTGATGAAGAAAAGTCTCCCTTTAAAGAATTCCAACTACTAATGTAAATAGACGAATAGAATTAGAAAACTATCACTTTCAATACCTAATGATATACAGTGGGGCCTTGACTTACGAGTGTCCCGACTAACGAGTTTTTTGAGATACCAGCTGTCTCTCGGCCGATTTTTTGCATTGAGTTGACAGAGTAATTTGAGTTAATGAGCTCCTTAACGAGCTCGGTCTCAGAACAAATTAAACTTGTAAGTCAAGGCCCCACTGTATTGGATCTTGGCAATAATTATCAATGTTTGTTAAAACCATTACATAGCCCTAGCTGGTTTGGCTCAGTGGATACAGCATCAGCCTGCAGACTAAAGGGTCCCAGGGTTGATTACGGCCAAGGGTACATGCCGGGGTTGCGGGCTCAATCCCCAGTGGGGGGCCTGCAGAAAGCAGCCAATCAATGATTCTCTCTCATCATTGAGGTTTCTATCTCTCTCTCCTTCTCCCTTCCTCTCTGAAATCAGTATTAAAAAAAGACACACACACACACAAAAACCATTACATAAATGATAGGGAACTTTAAAATAGAGTAATCAAGCTAATAGCATCTGAATCTGTTAATCAATCTTAACATCATTGAAAGTGAGACAATCAGCCCTGATTGCTGAATTGGCTGGAGCATCATCCCGTATGCCAAAAGGTTGTGGGTTTGATTCCTGGTTGGGGCACATATCTGGGTTGCGGGTTCGATCCCCAGCTGGGCTGAGTATGGGAGGTAACTGATAAATGTTTCTCTCCCCTTTCCTCTCTTTCTAAATCAATTAAGAAAAACCACATATCCTAGGGTGAGGACTTAAAAAAACAAGTGAGAGACAACCAGACATTATATACCTTCAGATGTGATTCAACTTGAAGTACAAACACCTATGAAATATTGAATCTAATAAAGCCTCTACATCTAATTAACAATTTACAGAAAATGGGGAGCAGGAGGGATGGATAAGTTAAACCATAAAGATATAATCATTCAAATGCAAAATGTAGGAAATTCTACAGAATAATCTAGTTTCTTCACTTTGAAAAATGGCATAAAAACTAGGGTTGTGTGTACTTATAGGTTAAAAAAAGACTTAAGAGACATATTAAACAAATGTAATGAATGACTCTTATTTGGATCTTTATTTAAGTGAACAGTACGAGGGCATCTTGAGGTATCTGGGGAAATGTGAACACGGGTGTGACATGCTGTGGCAGCCATGAAGATGAGCCTCTCCAGTCTCCCACACCTGCTTAACTGACAGCTGCAGCTGCTTCCCACTGGCTGCTCCCTGCCAACAAAGGAGCAGAGCAGGAATACAAAGGCAAGCCCATTCCTGCAAGATGTGGGGCTCCTGAGAGCTTGCACTTTTGGCCGCAGGACTTTGACGGTCTTGCTAAAAACTCTGAACTGTTCTGTGGATGAAGACTTCCTGCCCAACCACCCTCCGTCCCTCTCTCCTTCACATCAGTCAGACCTGAACTGAGGTCTTCCAACCGCCCCGCCCTCCTACCCCGTTGTTCCTCACAGGTGTGTTCTCCCAATACATTTCTTGCAGGCCTGTTTCTCAGGAGAAATTGAACTAAACAGATAGGAAGAAATTAGCATTAAATTTGTTAGGTATGATAATACATAGTGTGGTTATTTTTAAGTCCTTTAACAAGTATTTACTGGTTAAATGATAGAATGATTGGAATTTAACTTTAACTATCCCAGAAAAAGAAAAAAGAAAGAAAGAAAAAAACAAAGAGGGCTAAACTAAGATTGGCAAGATATGGATATTTTCTATTCTTTTGTGTATATCTGAAAATGTTCTTAGTAAGAAGTGGGAAATACCTAACTAGTAATCTTCAAAACTATCAAGGTCATCAAAAACGAGGAAAGTCTAAGAAACCGACCTAAGAGGACGGTATGGAGACGTGGTATCTTTGATTGGACCCTAGAACAAGAAAAGGACAGTAGGGAGTAACTGAGGAAACCTGAATCACGTATGGACTTCAGTAATAATAATGTACCCATATTGGCTAAACTATGACAAATGCACCATGCTAATGTGAGATGTTAATAACGGTAAACTGGCTGTGAGGTTATTCAAGTACTCCGTAGTATCTTCATAATAATTCTGTAATAAACCTGCTCTAAAGTTTTTAAAGACTAAAAGGTAGCTTATTTGACTATCTCCTCATATTTAAAAAATGATTTAAAGATTTTACTCTCCCCATGGACCTCCCCAGTGTCCATAGATGCAAAATCAAACAAACAAATAAACTATAATTGATGAAACATTCATTTATTTGTTTCAATAAAGTTTTAAAATGTAAAAAAATGCATTATTGTTACCAAAAACCTTCAGAGATAGATCTTAACAGAAAAACAAAGATTTCATTCCACAGTCTCTTAAACTTAAGAATTCATTTGCGTTCCGGAGATAATACTAAACTAATGGGTTTGTGTCAAACTGCCAACATCATGCTGCGGCTTCTCCTGGTACAAACAGCCTTTTGCAATGTAAGCAACAACAAAAAGATCACTTTGTTTTTACTAGTTCATGTTATATTATTCATATGATGTCCAAAAAGAAAAAGGAAAACCTTTGCTTAAAAATAAAAATGCATAATGTAAATTTGCAAGCTTTGACCTGCATCAGAAACACTTAAAGGGCTTGTTTAAACATAGATTGCTGGGCCTCACCTCATTCAGGTGTTGGGTGGGGCCCAAGAATTTGTATTTCTAATAGGTTTGTAAGTGGAGCCAAAGCTACTAGTATGGGGACCACACTTTGAGAACCACTGGCAAAGTATTTAGTAGGACAATGATCTATCTATAATAATAAAAGGGTAATATGCTAATTAGACTAGACGTCCTTCGGGATGAAGCCAGGGCTGGAGGGAAGCCAGCCCGGGGCCCCGGGTGCTAGAGAGAAGCCGGTGCCGGCAGCCGGGGGAAGGAAGACCTACTCTTGCACAAATTTCGTGCATCGGGCCTCTAGTTATGTCGTAAGAGTGAGTATATCATAGCAAAAGGCAGAACAATGCATTGCTTTGTAACCTTGGGCAAATGACCCTTCCCATCTGTACCTTGCATAATTTCTAAAGAATCAAATAAAAACAATATTTAAATATTCAGTAGTGCCAGGCATTTAAACCACTGAACACAATGCCTGGCACTACTGAACGTTTCTATGCTATAATTAAGTAGGGTTAAAGTTATATTCAAATTGTTAACTGATTTGTTATGCTTAGCTGTACTTCTTAAGGTATATTGATCTTAAAAGGGTTACAAGAAATGAGGCACTTTTCAGTCTCCTACGATCATCAATGAGCATTGCTGAAGTGTCCATTATAATTTTCACTGATTCACTAGCTTAAATAGTAAATATTACAGCTAATATGAAAATTATTTGCATAGTTTTACTATAAATTAGTGACGTTGTTCACTATCCTGAATCATTTGTACATGAAACTTTCAATCTATGAAAAGCCAATAAATGTTCAACTTTAACATTTTATCAAATGAATGTATTCTTACCAAAAGTGATTTGAAGGTTTTTCAAATGGGATTTCCTGTGTCTTTGATAGTTTTGTTTATACTTTTGTACTAAAAATAATAAAAAGAAATCAGATACCTTTCTATTAATTTTTCTTAATTTGCTTCCATAAAACTAAAATAGTGAGCTTTTTCCTTTTAAAGGCATCTTTATTCAGTCACAGAAATTTTTTGAAAGTGCAAGTAAAATTGTACATTTGATCCAGTATTAATAGGGAAGTTTCATTTTTAGCTTCCTTTTAAACCTTATCTGGTTAGAAATCAAAATAAAATGAATGGATTGTAAAAGATATTATATCTTTTATCCATCTCTTTAACATAAAGGTCCAACATTACATAAATTCTTTCCAAGAAGTTGACCAGGAATAAAATGTAAGCTCTTGCAGAGGTGAAAAGAGAAACTAGAAGCAAGAGATTAAGAAAATATGTGGGCATTTACAGTTACTGATAGAATTGTGTGCACACATAGAGTGAATCGAGAATTTAAAAAGGATATTTGATGAAGTCTAAGATAAATGGCTCCAGTTTCCATTAAGATTAAGAGACCTTGCGAATGTTTTCAGTAGGCTCGCTCCAGTAATGGAGTATGTTCTTATAAAAGGACTTGAGACATTATCTACACATTCTGACTGAAGGATGCTTGTTCACTTGTTAGACATGTATGACATTACTGAAAAGATTAACTTAGAGTTCTAGAAGTAAAGAAGACTGATTAGCTTGTGAGGGTGTATGAAGAATGGCATACTAGCAAAAAGTTATGAAAACCATTTACTAAAAAAACAAAGACTGGATTTTTACATTCTCAGACCTCTATCTTTTTCAAACTATGAAGGACCTGAGATTCTTTGAACACCAGCAGATGTAGTTGATAACAGTTCTTATTTGAATTAAGAAATTACTCATGTAGTTTTAAAATACAAAGATAATTAAAATGTTCAGTCAGCTTGAACATGTGTACACGTCTTCAGTTATTCAAAGAGCCTCACCATTAATGTAGTCAGATCTTATCCAACCTATATTTTCATTTTTAGAAAATTTTACCTTCTATAATATACTAAATAAAAATTCTAATGTACTGCATACTATTTCAGTAAGAGGCACATAAGTTAATTAGAATATTAGCATTTACTTTCAAAAGTAATATTCATGGTCAGGATTTTACTGACAGTACAGTAAGGAAATAACCAGTGTTAAAAATAAATGAAAATTTACTTTTTTTATTGAGTATTTATTTTACATGCAAAGCATATTAAAGTGAATCAAGCTGACTACTCCACAATGAAAACCTATGCAATGGGAATTGTGAAAGGTGTCTACACAATACTAAGTGGGCCAATAAATTATCCAGATGTTTTTCTAAAAATATTTGAATTACCTAAATTAGCTGATTTTTCAACAGTAAATTTTAGCTTTCATATGGTATTTTCTGGTAGCAGTAGCCAGCTAATACTTAAACTTAGAAGAAAAGCATAATAATAAAAAGCCCTGAATATCACAGCCAAATCTTTCAAGAGAAAAGTTCACCAAAAAAGTAATATACACACATTAGGTATCCAGAGGGGGAAACAAAAACAAAACAGGCATGTAATAAATGTCCATCAAGTGATCATCACTAGCATTCTATTATTACCAAAGTGACTGCCCATATGCCAACTGTTTGTTAGACTTAAATGCCTAAAACAAACCAGTAATCAATAATATACAGTGGGGCCTTGACTTATGAGTTTAATTCGCTCCGTGACGGAGCTTGTAACTCAAATTACTAGTATGTCAAATCAATTTTCACCGAGTGAGACACGTGATGCTGGGCTGATGTTGTGGCGTTCACTGTGACGTTCGCTGCACAAACTAGCGGTGGGGTATCTGAAGCTGGCTCGTAACCCAAATTTTAGCTCGCAACTCAAAGCAAAAAATCGGCCAAGAGACGGCTCGTATCTCGAAAAACTCGTTAGTCGGGACACTCGTAAGTCAAGGCCCCACTGTATACAGAAAAACTAACTTAAAATCATGTTTGAATACATCAACAGTTTGGTGTATCTGACATACATTGAAGTCTTTTTACTTTTTACTTCAGTACCACTATAAATTCCTTTAACATTTTCTTTTCGTAATACATAGTTATCTAAAAGAAATATGGTGCAATACTTCCCAATAGGTCTTTCACTCCAACATTCAGTAAATGTTGCAGCACATGAAAGGGTACAACGAGACCTAAAAGACAATGGCTGAATAATAAATACAAAAAGTACTCTCGAATGAACTATTCAGATTAGACTGGTTAATGCTACTTAAAATTGCACTTTGTGCTCCTAACTCACACCACATAGACTGTACATTGCTAAATGGAAGGGCTGGCACATGTCCATTCTTTTATAACTTCTGTAATATCTGTAACTGTATACCCAGTTGACTAATAAATACTTGCTGAAAGAATGGCTATGAAAATTTAATGTAACCCTCTCATCCATAGTCTTCTTATATACTGACACGTGATTATTTTGGGGATGAGGATATGATTTGAACATGATATGAGATTCTAGCTAAGCAAAATAAAAAACTACGGGCCTAGGTTTTCTTGGGTAATGCTTCAAGTCTTTATATTGAGAATGAAACAACCAATTTCTATACATCACCGACAACTTATTTGCACAGGGGGGGAGTACCTTTTATTGAGACACCCGATGAACAAAATGTTCACTGTTTAATTAATATTACGCTTTCAGTTTAATGGAATGACAAAAGAAAAAGTATTACTAAGTTCTAAGTAATATAAATTACAATCCTAGTCCATGGGATGTCCTTTATTTAGCGAGCATAATTCCAATACAAAAGAAGGTTACTGTTACATATTAGGAGTGGTTAGATACAATAACAGAATGTTTAGCCCTGACTCTAACATGTTATTTTTAAGTTCAGATTCATGAATGCTAGTTCTTTCTCATTTAACATACTCCCCCAAGTGAAAACCTGGTGTATTAGGTTTTTATATTACAAGATGAAAATATATGCCTGAATCTTGTAATGGATTAACAAGAGCATTTAAGTGACAACATTGCATGAAACTTACTAGGCATAGACTCAAGATCATAAAAGTACAAAGATGACAGATGACAATCACTGTACATGTGAGTATTATCTAGGACATCAGATCAATTATCAAATGCAAGGCCTTTCCTATTTCGTCTTAAGGTGTTGAACATATTGCTATGTCTAATACACTTACTTCTATTATATTCAACAAAGTATTCGTGGATGCAAAATCTTGCATCTTAATTTCTAATTATAAAAATCCAGATTAATCCAGAAAACATAAAACACATATAATTGAGGTAGGTAGGTTTTTGACCTTAAGAATACATTGCTTCTACCACAATTAAAAAGTTATTTTAAAAAAGAATATATTGCTTCATGGATCTGCCCCTGATACTTAAGTTTCAATGTTTTAAACCACACGATCAAGTGTGACAGTGCTAATCTACTATGTTTAGTAAATTCCCTTAGAAACACACCCCTAACATCTTCCTTTTCCTCTAATGATAACAGTAGTGCAATAATATTAATAATGAACAGATTATTTAATCAATTCCCAAGTTAATACATGTCGAAAATCAGGGAGGCCAGTTGTATTCATTTTAAAGTTAATAATCATACTGTTTGGAAAATAAGATCACAAACACTTTATAACTTTGGATATGCTTTATTATGCCACAAATTCCCAGGAAATATAAGAAATAGTTCTTCTGAATGGGACTAATAATTTCACAAATACTAGCACTTTATTGACAACAGCCAAGTTTTCTAAGATGGTGCACATGTATTTAAGCTACTTTTTCAAAATCTCAATATTTCTATAAGTTTTAAAGGGATATTGTAGCAGATCCTACTTTATTTTTTAATATTCAGTGTAAAAATCTATATGTGAAGTAAATACATATATTAAGGAAGAACTGCATGTGAAAAAAGCCTTGCCTAAGAACTCAGGTGATGCATTAGCACTAGGTACCATTATGTAAAAGATCATCGTCAGAAATGTTCCCAATAAACTGAGAAAAGGAAAAAAAATTAAAACTGCTCAGTCTTTAGAAGTATTAATTAGTGGTATAATTTTAAAAAGGGAAATGGAATATTCCTTTACTTACATATGGATTAAATAAATTAGAAATACTTCTTTTACTGAAAAACCAGTATACTTAACATATTTTAAGGCTAAATACTGACAGCATTTTCACAATGTCCAAAATGTGCATGGGAAATTAGGTAATACCGATATTTCTGCCACATACCTAAGGGTAAGTAAAGGGAGATGAGTACCTCAAGCCAAAGGCAGTAACTGAGCCTGGCAGACCACCTGACATGTGGATAGTGGATCACTGTCCCACGCTGGGCAATGTTCTCTGAAAAGGATGCCCTTTAGGGCAGTAATTCTGCACTGTATCAAAGTTTGGTAATTTAACATTGAAATTGTTGGTTAATATATATGGACATATGAAAACTTCCCCCGAGACCAGGTTATTAAATAAACTAAAAGGGGAAACAATGCTGGTAGCTAAAATTATATTAACTCCAGAGTCCCCAGTGGAAGGTATAGAAGGAAAGAGGCAACAGCAGCTGTTTCCAAACTTACGTTATGATCAGAATCATCAGACAGTGGGTGAGCTTTAAAAGGGTCTCAATCTAAACCTATCTAGAAACTGCAGCCAGGAAATTATTTTTTAAGCAACCCAAGTGATTCTGATGATCAGCCAAGGTTGAAACTTCTGAAGTGGAAAGGGGTATGGGCTAGGGGGGCAATCTAGGCCACTGCAAAGAGTTTCAGAATTCAACATCTGAATTTTATCATTTACTCTACAATTTTTCCAACTGTCTCACTCTTCCTATTCTTCTAATAGTGAGTAATGAAGGGGCTAAGCAAATGAAGGAAAAAGAATCAGTGGGGTACCTAAAACACATTTTACTATGTTCAAGCCACTTATGTATATTAATTAGATAAATGGGCATCCATATACTCATGTTTGAGACTCTACTAACACTTCTTAATATTAATGTTATTTTAAAGGAGGGGATTTCCTTACTCAACATGAAAATGTAATATAAAACAACTCTAAATACTAATGATAATAGAAAAAATTTGTATAATTCTTTAAAATAATTATTTTTTAAAAATCTAATAGTAGAAAGAAAATCCTTTAAATTTGAGGTAAGGCAATAAGTCTCACATATGATAACAACTGTGTCAGTGTTATTCTCCAAGTTAGAAATTAAGCAAAAATATTTCCATGCTAGTTCTGTTTATGTACTCTTTTGTAATGTATAAATGTTTTTAGTGTGGATAAATATCTTGGTTTTTATTTTAATGTATATGATAATTAAAGATATGAAATTTTTTCTTATCCACTAAAATCGTACACTCTATCAAGGCTTGATGAATAAACAACTTTTTAAATACCCCATGTTCACTTATAAACTAAAAAAGGTAGTACCTACATAAGAAATTTTATATTAAAATTACAAACATTATGTTCTTCAGAAGTTAACATGATTTAAAATTTTTGCAATATTCAAATACAAAATACATTTTAATTTACTATAGCACAATTCAAGTATTCTCTTAAATTTTGTATTTAACCAACTAGTTAGTATGTGATATTAAGTGACTTTTTATAATAGCTTTCCTTTTTAAAGATGACTGTTATACAAAATAGTGCGACTCTATCTATATACTCTAAATTGCTTAGATTAAGTTGAAAGAACAAAGACAGCAGACAAAGACCTTTATGAGTAAATCACCTACACATAAAAGGTTGCACACCCCAGTAATAAGGCATTTGCAGGTAACTCCCCAGAAGAATTTGAATTCATGTAAACAAAGACTATGTATATTCCTTTAGGGAGAAAATGCACTACCATAGATAAAATATATTCAAATGGTTGTGACTTTAAACTATATATTATTTGAATACCACACAAAACCAAAGAGGCATAACCTGTAATTTTAATGACCGAAAGATGTTACTTATTCGTGAAATAAAAAGTAGATACTTTTTGAAACTAACAATGAAAAGGAAATGTTTTCAAAATAAACATCCACTGTTTTCCAGAAATAAATATACATACTTAATGTATTGCAGCACAGGAATATTGTCCTCATATTAACCGTAACATTCAATCAGTAGTTTTAAAATATTTTTCCACACTGAGGCTGAATCTTCTACCTTGTCAGTTGCCCAACGACTTTTAACAGAGTTTTATTCTCCTGCTTTAGTTGTTCATTCTCATCTTCAATATCATCTAGGTCCTTAAGGAAACAAAAAGGAAAATAGTATGTGAGTTTTTAAAAATGTTCTAAATAAAAACACTTCAAAAAATACACACTCAGAGGTAATTCATATAAGCAGTCAGTCTGGAAATGAGGGCAAGTTCTGAAAACAACTTTAGGTAGAAATGTGCCACCTAAAGGAGCATACACTACTCAACTCCTTCTCATTGATAATATGAGCCAACTTTTGCCAGATCTTTCAGTTTTTCAAGAGACGCCAGAATTCTTTAACTGTAAATCTTCCAATTTTTAACTATTACAAATAACTTAATTTTTTATTTTAAAAAAATCCCCCATTCCACAAAAAGAATACATATTGGGGCAATATGAGGTTCAGAGGCTCACACTGCAACCTTGTGTCAAATTAGGCATCAAAAAGAAACAGGTACAAGTTCTGGATATACTCCTACCACTTTGTGTGACCTTTTAAAAGTGTGTATGTTGTGGGGTG